TATATATATATATATATATGATTTTATTATATAAAGGCTTCTTGAAAGATAAAATAGCAGAGCTAAATCTTGGAAGAGTTATCTGTATAAAGAAGGTGTCTGTGAAGAGTCAGAGGAGGGTGGTCACATAGAGAGCTCAGTGCGTTTAATGGTGTGGTGCTAAGATGAACATATTTTTATCTGAGAATTGAGAGATGAGCCGAGAGCAAAGGGCAGTCACCCAAGGTCGTGTTCATCTTGGTAAGGAATTTGGATTTTATCCTGAAGTAGGTGGATTTTAAAATAATAGAGCAGTAGAATTAAGTGCCCAGAGTTTCAAAGGAATGTTCTAGCAAAACATGGAGAGTGGAAAGAGGAGACACGGAATAAAGGAGGGGCCTACAAGGAGGGTGTTGGAGGAAGTGGATAGAAAATTATAAGGCTGGATGTGGTATAGTAGCAGAATAGAAGTTGAAGCTAGACTGGAAAGACAGTTGAGGGAAAGGAGGGAATTAGGATATCTCTGAAACTTCAGAAATTGACCTAGTACACAACAGTGACATTCACTGAAGAAAGACATGAAGGAGGAGCAGATTTGGAAATGGGAGTCAGATGGGGTTTGGGGATGGTGATGAGAGCTCAGTTTGAACAGATCGCACGTGAGGTAGCCATGAGATATGCAAACAGAATGGAAGAATCCAAGCATATGAAGGCTTTGTAAAAACTGTGAACAACACTGTATTAGTCAGTTTTCTGTGACTGGGACAAAATACTTGACACTCATAACCTAAGGGAGGACTGATTTACTTTGGTTCATAGTTTCACAGGTTTCAGTCCATGGTCAGCTGACTCCAGTGCAGAAATAGCATAGTAGAAGGGGCTGGAGGAGGAAAGTGGCTCAAAGCATGGCGGCTAGGAAGTAGAAAGTTAAGGGCCAAAGAAAGTGAAAAGAGCTGGGGTCAAGAGTACACTCTTCTGGGTCATACCTCCAGTGACCCATCTCCTCCAACCAGGTCGTACATCCTAGCAACACATTCACCTATGAACCCATCAATAAATTAATTAACTGATGAGGTTAGTGTCTAGTGATCCAGTCCCCTTCTAAAAGCCTCAATTGATCACATGAGACTTTTGGGAGATATCTAACTCATAACAAAAATTAACTAAAAATTGAAGCAAGGAAAAAAAAATAATAGACTACCCAAATGAATTACTACTTTCTTTCAATGAATTGAACAAAATGAAGTACCTATTAACTACCATTCTCTATTTTCCCCCTTGAAAGTTTAATTTGAAACAGTGTTCTGCATGATTTAAGAATCTTTCAGATCTATTTTTCACATAGAATTGTCAAAATATATCAAATTGCAAACCAAAGGAAAACTTGAAGATACAAAAAAATTTTTTTTAATCCAGTCTTTCCATCTCATAGACTTCAAGAAAAAGACATTTCTGAAGAACATATAATTTGGGCTTCTAAAACTCTTCAAAACTTACTAATTCAGAATTTTGGGCGGGAAAAGAATCTAACTGAATACATTTCTTGCATATAAAATGTTTTTGAAAGAATCATATTTGTGCAACTTTCAAAGTAAGTAATTACTCAAACCTAAGTGTGGGCTCTCTCCAAGAAAACTGTTAATTGTAAATTAGGAGAAAACTGAGATCAAAGGTATTGACCACTAAACAGTACTTTGAGATTTGTGTCGAAGAACAAAAATATATCAAGATTTTGGTGAAGAAAAATACAAAAAATAAGAAGACAAAACAGTTTTGGATTTCAAACTCAATTACAGCAAAAGGCAGTACCTCCTGGGCACATGCTGTTATGGTAAAGCTTGGTAATGAGAGCTGGAAGGAAAAGTGTGCTGTCAGAAATCTGGTGAACTCCTATTTATGCACTAGTAGGGAGCAAAGGGCTTCTCTTTGGTGCTGTGGGCTGGTGAAAATTTTTGGAATGAAAATATAAGCAGACTAAATTATGTAAACTGACCAAAAGATGTGTGAAACAAATGTTAAACAAGGTTTCCTGGAGATAAATAATCAAAGACAAAAACCCCCAAATAGTGGTACTGATAAATTATCAAATTAGCTAAGAAAGCATGAGCAGGGGGAAGCCTGCGGAACTTGCTAGCACAATGAATCTGAAAACTGCTGAGCTAAGGGAGTCTTCAGGAATTTAGAAGTTAATAAAACAATGAATCAACTTTTGTCACTAGGGAAATCAGTCTCAGTAGTAAAGTCCCAATGAGTTTGTCTAAGGGGTAAGACAGGAGAGTATTTATAATATAAAATTAACTTTGAATGTGATACTACACATTGCATAATACTTTCCTCTCTCATATTTGGAGTTGGGTTCTTCTACCCTTATTGCTGCAAAGCTGAAAAAACACATATTCTTCTAAGGATGCTAAGTTCCTTATAAAATAAACAGTGATTCAGCTGAGAGGTCAGAAAAGATTCCTGCAATAATTTACTTTGATAGGATTTTTATTTTGAACATCTGCTCTGCCAGCTACGAACTCCGAATGGGAGGTGTGCTGTTTCCTTTTTAAATAAAAGGATTTTATTTATTCTTTTCTCTAATCTAAGAGGAAACAGAAGAAAAAAAATGAGCATATTTTATAAATATTTCAGTTTTGAGGTTGATTTTCATTTTTAACAGTTAACTGATGTGGCCATTCCTTCACGCTAAATCATTTATTCTAAATATCACTGAGCATTCAGTGCGAGGCAATGATGCTGGTGCTACTATGAAGTGCCAGGCCCTGATGTAGGTCCTGCATTATCAGCTACAAAAATTGCCGGGAGGATCAAAACATACTGATCTGCACTAAGTGATTGGGAGGCTACCGTTTGACTGGGTAATTCCGAGGTTATTTTTGAGAAGTAATCTTTGAGATAAAATCTGGGTAGTAACAAAGAGCCAACCCAGGAAGATAAGGGTAAGGGGAAAGAATTCGGGCAGTGAGAACAGCAGTATTATGGCTAACTTGGAAACATGCTGAACCAGTTCCAGGAACTGAAGTCCAGGAGGTCACCATCCCTGAGCCAAGTTAGAAAGTAAGTAGAGACCAATGCGTAGGGCCTCTTGGGCCGAGTGGAGAGTTTGGTCTTCTTTCTAACTGCAATGGGAAGCAACCGAAGGGCTTTCACCTGAGAACTGACATGACATGATTTACATTTTAAGGCATGCCCGAGCAAGCATCTTCAGCAGCCTTGTGAAGGAGGCTGGGGAATCCATGCAAACAGTGCTGGACCCTGTTTTTGGCCATGACCACCGGCCTCAGGTGGCCCTCACTGGCACCTGGCCATCACATATATCCTGTCCATTAAATCTGCCTCTGTGCCAAATGGCTGCTCCATAATCACCTCCCCTCTCTGGAAACATGACCTTAACTCCCAGCTGCTCGCTTTGCTTGCTTCTGCCTTCACCAAACAGGAGGACACAATCTGGAGGGGACTGTACCACCTCCTATGTCAATCCATGCATCAGTGTGTGTATCTGCATACAATACTGTTCTGCATCCCCAAAGGGTTTCCAGAGCAACTCATCATTCTCTGAGAGGTGAACTGCTTCATGCCCTCTAGCATTCTCCAAGACTTCTCTTTGTTCACTCCCGTGCATCATCCATATTTTTATCTCTACTCATCAGCACAGAAACCTGCTGTGATTCATGCCCTATTTTCTTTTGGTGTCATTTTTATCTTTCCAGCCTCTGTCTTGTTTCTTGTATAGCTGTTGTTCAATCAATTCTGCTCTGTGCATTTTCTCAGGAGCCTGCTCCTACGAGACTTACGGGCGCCACTTCCCTGAGCTGTCTCTAACACCCCCGTGTCTTCCACATTCCTAAACCTAGTGGTCAACTGTCACTCTTCACCTTAGGCTTAGTGACTATTCCCAGTATTTTACTGAGGAACATTCTTCCCAAAATGCTTGCTTCACTGCCTTTTACTTGATTTCTCATGAGTTACATTTTCTGAGGGCGGGGAATTTTGTATATTTTGCCCACTGTTGTTTGCCAGTACCCAACAATCTCTTGGCAAATAATTGGAGCTCACTGTTGAGTGAATGAATGAGTTGAACACAGGAGTAAAGCAATGTAGTAGTCAGGATGACACCTATGGTTTTAGCTTGGGAAAGTGGATGGACAGTGGGATAAAGAAATCTGAAAGAGGTCTAGGTTTCCGAGTGCAGGAAATGGTGTTCTGACTGGGACATAGCAGAGATGTCTATTTGACATCAAATAGAGATCTATGACTAGTGAGAAGGTGGACATAACAGTATCAGCCTGAAGTTCTGGAGACCCTTCGCAGAGTCAAATGTGGGAGGCTTTTAAGTGGTCTTGAAATTGTAAAACCAGATGAGACCATCTAGTCAGAAGCACAGGAGGGCATGAGACTAAGCCATAGATTATGTCAACATTTAGAGAATAAGCAGAGGAGTATCAGAAAGGAACCAGCATCCAGACTAGACAAAAAGCCAGAATACAATGAGGTAAAATATGATGTAATATGAAAATTAAAAATTTATGACTGTAAAAGACACATGGTGGCATTAGTCTACCTCAGAATACCCCCCACCCTTTGCTTTGAACATCTATTTCATTGTTCTTGTCACTTTCGGAAGCAGTTCTGGAAGTCCTCTTCTGAATCTTTAGTTGTGCTGTTGTGGCTGCCTTCAAGTCCTGAATCTACTGAAAGCGTGTGGACTCAGCGGAAAAGCCAGAGTTCCATGGCCAGATCCAGCGCACAAGGAGCACGGGGGCACACAGTGATGTTTAACTTGACAGAAATTGCTGCAAACCTAAATGGTTAACTGATTCAGAAAGTGGCAAAAATGATGGGATAAGTGTGTTCAAGGCAGGGAGTGTTCTGAGCGGGATTCATGCCAATGTCTTTTACTGTCATTTTTAAATTTTATTTTTTTATCACACCTCATACAATATTGCTGAAGCCAAAAGATGTAGACGTCAGACTGGATAGGGCAAGTACAAATTCCAAGTAGGTCTTTAGAAATGTCCTGCATTCTACTGCAGTTCCCTGGTGAGGTGACCTTCCTACTTTGCGAGATGACTGTGTCACATTTATTTGCTCACCTCAAGCCTTTAACACTGACTCCTACATTCCTTGCCAGTGTCTTTGTTCACTGAACAAACATCAATGAGACCACTTCATCCTGCCATGAGATCTACCCACGTCTATACCCACTACCTACTTACGTAGATGCAAAGGTCAGTGCTTCTGTTTGTGCATTGACTGAGCCAACTATGTTCCACCTAGAGGATTATAACCCCCCCACCACACACACACCCCGTATGTATGTGTGCGTCCAGAGCAGCAGTATTTCCCATCCTAAATCTACCTTCCTAGACTTCAAGTTTCTTTAGGTACCAAACCAGTTCCCTGCCTCCACTTTGCAGTTCTCTGGAATTCTTCAGCAGGTTTCCTCCTGAACTTCATCCCTGTCTCTAATTGTAACCTCTCTAAAGAGATGCCACCTGTAATCCCTCCCCACAATGAAGACATGCTTTTTTCCCCGATTACATTTTTCACTAGCACTTCTGTTAATCCTATGCTTATGTGCTTGTTTCCTTTGAAAATGTAAGCTCTCTGAAAGCAGGAATGTTTATCCACTTCATCCATCCATCCATTCATCATCCATCCATCCATCCATCCATCCATCCCACTCACCATGCATGGCACAGCAATTTCATTCATTGGTTCACCACAGAAAAAAATCTGAAAAGGGAAAAAGGTTCAAAGACAATCCCTCTTTTTAGTAAAAATAATATATTTTTATGCTGATGGGAAAACTACCACAGAATTTATTGATGCATAAGTGATGAGGTAATACAGAGGGCACGATATACAGCTGTAAATATAGGTGTACTGGTAGAATCTGAGAAAAGGAAGCCAATGAAATGATTTCAGATGAAATCGTTACTAGTTCTCTGTATGCCATACTACCCTTGGAATCTTAACTCACAGAGGACTGACTGGGTTCTGAGAAGACACCCACCTTTCCCTTTGTACATGATCCACAAAGATCTGTAGTATACACTGAATTTCATGCTACATCAAAGATTCACAATAAAAATGTTTTTGAATAGCTACTTTAAAATCCCAGGGTGTTAAAAATAATAGCCTGCATTTCTTTTTTTCAAGTAGTATAAACTAAGAATGACATTTTCATTAGTGCTTCTTTCTCTTTCAGGAATTATGTGAAAAACAACATTTGTTTTATGAGTCATCACCGAAAAGAATTAGTGCCAACACAGCTTCAAAAAAGCAAACCCCAAGAGCAGCTTCTGGAGTGTAAAAAGCTGTGTGGAAGGGGAAAACCAAAGCAGCTTTCTCCAGAGACCTAAGGCCTCAAATCATTACAAAGGTTGATACAAATGTTTGCAGGGCGTCTTTGTACCTGTGAATATTTGCCACTCCCATGCTTTCACTTGTGTCATGGAACTGTTTTGAAAAAGATACCCTGATATTATAATGACAACCACTAATCCCTGTTTTAAAGGAACCTCAAGAGGTAGATGAGGAACAACGTCCTAAGCAACTCTTGCTTATTCAGGATAGCAGGTTAAACAAACAAAGATGAAAACTGGCTGATTCAATACTTTCTACCTTTTAGCATAGCCACCTTTGAAAGATTAAGTCAAAGGGACGAGATCAATCTTGGCCTTAAACTTTGTCTGTATGAAACCAGTCAGTTTTATTACTTAGACACAGGTGTTCTGGACACAAGGCAGACAATTTAATTGCATTCTAGATTACAAGAGTGTCCTGCTAGGATTTTAGTGTTAATTCCTAGTTAAAGTTCCACAAGGATTATACAATTTATTTTACAAAGTGAAATTTAATGCAAAATATATTACTTTTATGGATTTTTAACAGTATAAAGTATTAAACAATTCTGTAATACTTGAGAAAAATAAGCATTTTTCATCTTTTTTTTTAATGACTAGAAAGATAAATTTGAAAATCCTGGGACCATATTTGTTAAGAAGTAGCTGTTAGTAAACTAGGAGTCAGCCCACAGATTATTTATCCAAATTGCTAAGCAATTAGGTTTAAATTATTAAATCAAATCTAAAAAATTCTCTCCTTGAAGCTTTCATGACGAGTTATAGTAATCGCAGTTTCCTGCAGTTCTTCTACTCCTCAGGAATATCTCTACCTCAGGTTATGGCAGACAGACTATAATCGATGCTGACTCTCAGATGAATTTAGACATAATAAATAAATGACATTCAGACATCTGGACAATTCACTACTCATATTCTTTAATAGAAAAATCCATTAATAAGAATCTTAAAACACTGAAATAGTAACCTATCAGAGTACCAATACAAACTATGGAAGACAATACAAAAACTTAAAAGCACAACCAACCTAACATAAAAAAATTCAAAAAATATGATGAAACAGAAGAAAAAAATATTCTACGAGCTCAGACTCTTTGTTAGCTTGACATTTTCCCCTCTGACCCCTTACAAACTGTCCCTGTTTTATATAAGGGAATCCACTTATGTACATTTCCTCATAACAAACTGGACAGACTATAAACCTATGTAAACAATGGTAAAATGATAATATCAAAGACTCAGGAGAATGACTAAAAGTCCATGTTTTGAAATGTATTATCCAAATTAACATGGGCAAGAAGATGGCAAAAGGAGATTTGAGACCTTGGTTCTGTCACAGTACATTTTGTATACAAGTTAGAACATGTATTATGTTTTGTTTAAGAAAGAGAAGGGAAGGTGTGTTCCACAAAGAATCAATTTAACTCATAGAGAGCTTTGGTGGAATCTATGCCAAAGTTTTTTTTTTTTTTAACTCGACTCATTTATGAGTATGAACTTTTTCTTTTTTGATAAGCATCATGCAGATTGTAAGATATTTAAGAAAGTTGCTTCATGATTCTTTTCAATTCCAAACAATACATACTTTAACTATTTCTTTGTTTGGCTATTCATTGTAAACGGGAAAAAATAAACCTAGCTGGTTTATTACTGACTTCAGCTTCAGTATCTTCAACATTCTTTTATGTATTTTTTTATCCTCTATGTATAACTAAAGAATTTTGTCTTCCATTCATTTTTACCCAATACCCATCCCTCCCCACACCAAATGAAGCTTACTGATTTGCAAAAATAAAAGGGGAGAATGCTTATAATTTGTATGTATATATTCACAGTTTTTATTTATATAAAAAATTTACAGTACTTGTGGAAAGCCAGCAGAAGACATCAAACACACTCACATCTTCCCAGCTTTGTTCTGTTTAGAGGATTACCCACGGACACTGTCAGAGGTGCTCCTGCCGTGGCTGAATCTAGCCATAGTCAGGCTGTCTTTTCTCCCCTCTCAGATAAAGCATTTTCATGAGCTACTACTGACCAGTTTTCAAGTCATCTGAATACTGAACACGTTATATCATCTGGATCTGTACCTTGGCTAAATAATTATATTTTTCCCTATTCCATATAGATATATATTTTTTGTGAACCCTGCAAAATAGAAGTTCACCTTATTACTGTCAATTAAAATTAAGTGGAAAAATCTCAGTTTTAAAAGTCTGCCTATAACTTTTTATCTATTTTTATTCTCTGTATTTATGAGTTTAGCTCTCCTACTGATCTTAAAAATAAAGCAAATAAACACAAACTGTAAAAAAGAATCAAAGTTTAAAAGTCACACTTAAATCTTTCACGTGAAAGTATAAAAGTTAGCCTTTACCTCCCACTTTTGAAGGACAGGCAGGGTAGGTGCAGGCTTTGAGAAGAGAAAAAGAAACAAAATAATATATACTATTCAGTGCAGTACTTAAGTCAGATTTTCAACACTTTATACTATGATAAATACAGAGGTTCAAATGTTTCAAGTCTTTACTTGTCAAGAAATTTTGGTAATTCAGGTTTTCACGGAAGATTGTGTTGGAATATTGTCTCTGTTAAGTTTCTACTGAGAAGCTATTCTGACTCTACTACACAGGTTGTATTTCTAGGAGAAGTCACTGGTTTACACCAGACTCAAAAAGTAATAGAGCACAAATGCTGCCTGCTCCTCTTACTACTGTAGGACTCCCGCAGGAGCGAGGACAATGCTCACTGATGTGTGTGTGTGTGTG